AACATAGTATTTTAAAAATCATGTACATTGTACTATTTTGAAGTACATATACATTCTGGAATGATTCCTTCGTTTGCCAGAGACCTTCCTTCCTTCTGCAGTAATCAGTAATTTAAGTAGACGTTATATTTAACTATTGGGATTTAATGATAACTAATAACTACAATCAGAAATAAAGAGCACTAAGTTTCCTAAACAATTTTCAATGGCAAATCCCCTGTCCTTCCACTGTGTTCTTCTTCAGTGTTTTCCTATGCACCCCCCCAACATATTCTCCCACCCCTTTCTCAAAAAATGATCAAGCCTTTGACCAGGTGTCACTGTAGCTGTACCTCAGAACGCTTTTTACCGCTAGTGACTTGGAACTCAAAGCAGCGGTTGTTCCCTCTTCCAGCTCTGGGTTGTCCTAATACTGTCAGAGCTGTAGTGAGGCTGGTCTAGGGGTATGGGAATGAACAAGTACAAGTTTTAGCTTGTATTTGTTAGAGAAGTACATATCATTGCAGAGAGCTTTGAAAAGTGGGAGAAAGTCATGAGCCATGATTCTAATCATCCATACATTTTTCTACCCTTTTTAATGTGCATTACAAAATCAGCAGGTAAGGAAAGGTATCCTGGATCTTGGTTAAAATTGTAGGTGGATCACCATTATTTATAGAGTGGTGAGTAGTAGAGAAACGACCTCTGCTGGCCTCTGTAGCTAGTGCTAATAAAATCTCTGAAGGGATGATGGTCACAGCTTTAAGGGGTGGGGTTATGGGTTTGTGTTTGGGCCAAAACAGCCCCTGGGGTTGGCCAAAGTAGGTAGTCTTTTAATGAGCTCCAAATTTTGAGCCCCTAAATAAAAAAATGTGTCCCAATCATTGCCATACTATGGTTAGCATTAATCTGAAGATAGAGAATCTGCCAATATTTGAGATTTCACACAGAATGTGTAGTTCTGTGTCCTTTGGAATTGTGATGATTTCAGTATAATGCTTATGAGTCCTTTGGAGATGGAAGGATATTTCCTGGTAGCACAGCTGTCCTAATCGGGGACATTAGACTTTGCTCATAACAAAGAAATAGGAAATAACAATATTGACAGTGGGTTTAGTTATGGGATAAAAAGCCTAACTAATCCAATATTTTGTAATTCCAATAGTGGATTAATGTTCTGTCAGTTGTACAAAAGAGCTATAGAAGTTTCTTAAAATTGAAATTGGCTTTATTATTTTCTGAATGTACATGGTTCTGTTTTACCGTACACAACTCATTCATTCAGTTTGTATATTAGGTCTAAAGAAGTGTTTTGCTTTTTTTGAGACAGGGTCTATGTAGTCTAGAGCTCACTATGTAAACCAGTCCTCTGCTGGGTTTGTTTGTATGTCTTGTTTTTTGGTTTTGGTTTTTTTTTTTTTTTTTTTTTTTTTTTTAAAAGACAGGATCTCCCTGTAGCCCCAGCTGGCTGGAACTTGCTATGTAGACCAGGATGTCTTTGATCACACAGAGATCCACCTGCCTCTCATGGGATTAAAGGCATGTGCCACCACACCTGACTTACGACTTGCTTTTTTAAAAAATTAGAATTTCCTAGATGTCCTAGTTTGTTTTTCCATTGCTGTGACAAAACACTTTGACCACTACCAACTTGGGGAGGAAAGGCTTTATTCAGCTTACATCTCTCAGGTCACAGTTCATTAGGGAGCCCAAGGTAGGAACTCAGGGCAGGAACCTGGAAGCAGGAGCTGGAGCACAGGCCATGGAGGAACGCTGCTTACTGGCTTGCTCCCCTGGCCCCTGCTCAGCTTGCTCTCTTATCCAACACAGGCCCACCTGCCCAGGGGTGGCACCACCCACAGTGGTCTGGGCCCTCCCATACCTCTTAATAATCAAGAAGGTGCCCCATGAACAAAGTGGCCATGGTGGCAGAGATGGAGGTTATGCATGGGCTCGACAGCATGGACCCCCACTCACGAAAGCTGACCTGGCTACAGCTGCTGCTGAGTGCCAGATCTGCCAACAGCAGAGACCAACACTGAGCCCCCAATATGGCACTATTCCCCGTGGCGACCAGCCTGCAACCTGGTGGCAGGTTGACTACATTGGACGTTTTGTCCTTACGGGAATAGATACTTATTCTGGTTATGGATTTGCCTTTCCTTCACTTAATGCTTCTGCCAAAACTACCATCCAGGGACTTACAGAATGTCCTATCCACTCTCATGGTATTCTGCACAGCATCACTTCTGACCAGGGAACTCACTTCACAGCCAAAGAAGTGTAACAGTGGGCCCATGGTCATGGAATCCACTGGTCTTACCATGTTCCCCACCGTCCTGAAGCAGCTGGCTTGATAGAACGATGGAATGGCCTCTTAAAAGACACAGTTACAGTGCCAATTAGGTGACAGTAGCCTGAAGGGCTGGAGCAGGGTCCTCCAGAAGGCAGTGTATGCTTTGACTCAGTGTCCAATATATGGTACAGTTTCTCCTATAGCCAGGTGCCGGTGCCAGCTGGCCAAAACGGACAGTACCTGAAGGGGGAGTGAGGATTGAAAGAAATGAAGACAGGAAAGACCCTTCTTGGGAGGGCTCACAGTGAATACTGCCAGCCTCGGTTTATTTCAGCTCTGTCTTTTTATACAGAAGAACTCAATTAGTTACAACTGCTGTATTTCCCCACCTGTATCTGAGGGTCAGGGAGTGGTCAGATCAAAGGCTTCTTGGATCCTTTTGTTTACCACTAATGCCTCAAGGTCAGGTATTGTGAGGCTCTCCAGAAAACTTCTTCCTCCTGAATGGGCAGGTTAAGTACTGGTTTGCATGACACAAACTCAGTAAATGAGGCTGCTGCAGCTCAATGATTAGCAGCCAGGATTCACGGGTCCAGGAATCAAGGGGTGGAAGTGGGAATGATTCCTTTCACTATCACCCCTAGTGAACCCCTAGGAAAATTTTTACTTCCTGTACCCTCGACTGTGCTCTCTGCTGGCTTAGAAGTTTTGGTTCCAGAGGAGGGAGTGCTTCTTCCAGTAGACAGAATAAATATTTTGCTGAACTGGAAGCTAAGACTTCCCCCTGGACACTTGGGCTTCTGATGCCCTTAAGTCAGCAGGCTAAGAAAGGAATAACAGTATCAGGAGGGGTGATTGACCCAGACTACCAGGGGGAAATTGGACTTGTTCTCCACAATGGAGGTAATGAAGATTATATCTGGAAGGCAGGAGATTCCTTAGGGCGACTTTTGGTATTACCATGTCCTGTGATTAAGGTCAACGGGAAACTGCAACAACCCAATCCAGACAGGACAACAAATGGCCCAGACCCCTCAGGGATGAAAGTATGGGTCACTCCTCCAGGGAAAGAGCCAAGACCTGCAGAGGTGCTTGCTGATGGTGGAGGAAATACAGAATGTGTAGTAGAGGAAGGTAGTTACGAATACCAACTTAGGCCACGTGACCAGTTGCAGAAACATGGATTATAATTGACATGAGTATTTTTGTCCTATTTGGTTAAGAATAGGCCTGTGCATGTATACACACGTTAAGCAGATACTTGTGTTATTCTTTATTTTGAATTTGTAACTGAGATAAGTGTTAAGTGGTTAAGTGTTGTGAACCTATGTGATCATACCTGGGTTATGAGGTACTAAAGGATTAAGCATTCCTCAAAGACCTTATCACCTACTCTAGGATATATAATGCATTGGTCATTTTATGATGGGATAGTTATGTTAGGTGAAATTATGACCTCAACATTGTTTTCATTTGAAAATTAAGCATGACATAGATGCTGTTGGGTGTCACGTTGACAAGGGGTGGACTTTTGATGGCTAATCCTGGGTGTCAACTTGACTGAATCTGGGATTAACTGAAATGAGAGAGATCTTGAAGCTGGAAGACATACCCTAAATGTGGGTATTACCCTCTGATGGCAGCCCGTATAAAAGGCCAGTGCAGAGGAGAATGCCTGGCTTCTTGCTGCTTGCCTTCTCTCTCACTGGTGAGTTCGTCTTGCTGCTGTAGACTGAAGACTAGCTGATCTTTTGGAATTTGTCAGACCTTCAGTGCCATATTGGGACTACTGAGACATCCAGCCTTGTAGACTGAGTGACTACAGATTCTCAGCCTCTCCAGTGTGGTGCAGCCATTGTTGGACTACTCGGACTACTTGGAGTCTATCCTGTGAGCTAAGCTGATAAACCTCTATACATATATATTCAATCTACTGGTTCTGTTTCTTTGGAGAACCCTGACTAATACACTAGAGTATAATGGATTTCAGCTTCCTTACTATATAGCAATATGCAACTGGATTACTGGTTTATTCTTATAAAAAATTATTAAACTAGCATTTCTTTTCCAGTTTCTCTTCAACAACGGGTAGCAGAATTGGAAAAAATAAATGCGGAATTTTTACGTGCACAGCAGCAGCTTGAGCAAGAATTTAATCAAAAGAGAGCAAAATTTAAGGAGCTGTATTTGGCTAAAGAGGGTAAGTTCCTAAGTTTCTCTCCAGCTCCCATGCTAAAAACCATCCTAAAATGTTAAGTTTCTTGGTAATTCAGTGTTCATTCTGGCATTGAATAAACCCTGATGTTTGTGTGTGTACAGGTGTGTACTCGTGTGTGGGTGCACCTGCACACTAGTGGTGAAGCCAGAGGTCAGCCTTGGCTGTTGGAGCTGTCAGCCTCGTTTTTTGAAACAAGGTTTCTCACTGAACCTGGAGCTCACAGGTTTGGCTAGAGTGACTGGTCCATGAGCTCCGGACATCCTCCTGTCTCTGCCTCCCCAGTATTGGGATTATAAACCAGCATGCCTAACTTTATGTGGGTGGGTGCTAGGGATTGGATTTAGGTCCTCATGCTTGTGTAGCAAGCACTTTACCAACTGAATCTTCTCCCTGGCCGTAAACCTTGATTCTATGTAGTTAATATATCATAATATGAAAAAGAATACTATTTAGAAGCTAGGGTTCTCAGTGGAATTGTAAAACCAGATAAATCTTACATTATTAAGATTTATCTTTGTTGATTAATTTTAAAGTTGGCTGCATAGTCTCAAGATAGGGAACTTTCCATGTTTAACACTTAAGGTACAGCCTCTGGCATATCAATCGATATTCTAATAGTAGCTTTAACTATGTTGCATTAAAGCTGACATTTTGTGGAATTACTGAACAAGTGTTTAGTTATTTCTCAGTAAACACTATTAACTCCCTCCTATGTGACAGACATTGTACTTTCATGTTAGGTGTACAAAGGGAGTAAGATTCATGTGGTTCTTTAGATTGATTGAACTGAAGGTGAGGAAGACAGTTGTAGAGTCATTGTGGTACAGGTTGTTAAAAAGGAGTGTGTAAACCTTTAATCCCAGCACTTGGGAGGCAGAAGCAGTTAGATCTCTCTGAGATCAAAGCCAGCCTGGTCTACATAGCCAGTTCCAGGCCATCTAGAGCTACAGGGAAACCCTGCCTTTAAAAAAAAAAAAAAAGCAGTATGTAAATAAGTAAATCTGATGTGGGATGTAATTTGAAGGGTCAGGGAAGGTGTTTACATTCTAGGTGTAGCCTAGAATATGGGTACAGCTTTCTTAGTATGGTTGTGGAACAGCTGCATCAACTTCAGCCTCATCTGCGGAAACTTCTTAGAAATGCAAATGTTTGACTCCTATCCCACATTTGCAGAGTCAGAAACCGAGTCCAATGGTTGGTGTTTTAACAAGCTTCTAAGGTGTTCAGCCCCATTCAAACATTTAAAAACTGCTCTGGTCAAGAACAGTAAGACTCAAACTTTCAAATAGATAAAAATTACCTAGAGAAGTAATTAATAATGGTATTTTTGGATGGGTCCCCAAAATTGGCTAGTCTCAGGGCCACAATTTGAGAACCCCTGCTCTAGACTAGTGGTCATACACCTTTTAAATTTGTGCTTTAGGGGCTGGAGAGATAGCTCAGCAGTTAGGAGCACTGACTGGGACCTGGGTTGGGCTCCCAGTACCCACACGACAGCTAACAACTCTTTGTAATTCCAGTTCCAGGGGATCTTAACACCCTCCTCTGGCCTCTGCAGTATGGCACACCCAGGTGTATTTAAATATGTGCAAGGAAAATACTCATACACATAAAATAAAAAATTTAAAATTTATGCACTTCATAAAATATAGTTGTAAACATTCCTCATATGTTGGTTGATGTTTGATAGTCTTTAAGTTTAAAAAGTTGGGAAGGATATGATCTAGGATATTGTTAATAATTATAAGTTAAATTAAAATCTTGTAACTTTAAACATATACAGTGGAATCAAAATACCATAATGATTTAATATCAGCTACCATCCACTTAACAATAAAAAGCTGTAAGTAGCTCATTAGCAGAAATCTGCATTTTCTTCCTTGAGCTGGGCTTTTCTTTTTTACTTTTCTCAGAATTTTATTATTTTATTTTGCTTTATTTTTTAATTAGAGATTATTTATTTTTATTTTATGTGTATGAGTGTTTTGTGTGCAAGTATGTAAGTGCACCACATAGGTACAATGCCTTTTGAGGCTAGAAGAGGGCATTGGATAGCCTGGAACTGGAGTTTCAGATGGTTGCTAGCCAACATATGGTGCTGGGAACTGACCCTGGGTCCTCTGTAAGAGCAGCCAGTGCTCTTAACCACTGAGCCATCTCTCCAGCCCCCAGAATTTTATTCTTAGAAGTGGTTTTGAAACTTGTTAATCTGAATTACTTACAGGGTGTTAAAACAAAGATTGCTGTACCTTGGAGTTTATGATTTACTAGAACTCTGGGATCCCACAGTTTGCATTTTTAGCAAGTTACTTACTAGGTTATGCTGTTATTAATGGTTTAGGTAACACGCTTTGAGAATCACTAACCCAAAGTAATATCTTTTTTACTTTTAAAATTTCTTATTTTTATTGAGATAGAGTCTAATTTATCTCAAATTGGCCATGAACTGATTACGTAGCTGAAGTTTGATCTTCCTGCCTTTGCCTCTGGAGTGCTAGGTAGCTTATTTTGTGCTAGGGCTTGAACCCAGGCTTCATGAATGCGGGGAAAGCACACTATAACTGAGCTATCTCTTCATCCCCTAAAATGCTGAAAGTCCTTAAAAATAATTTGGTCAGTTTTCAGTAATAAAAATATGCCTGTAGCTGGGAATGGTAGCACATGCTTTTAATCTCAGCACTCAGGAGGCAGAGGCAGGCAGATTATTTGTGAGTTTGAGGCCAGACAGGTCTATATGGTGATTCTCCCCCTCCAAAAAAAGCCTGTCAATTTCTGCTGTGTTTTGGTATTATTATTAGAAAGGTATAGTTGATTATACTATATTTTATACATCTTAAAAAGTAGTCAAATGAAGCCAGGCGTGGAGGTGTATACTGTAATCCGGACACTTGGGAGGCCACAGGAGAATTGGGAGTATTGTAAATTTGAGACTGGACTGAGCTACATTGCAAGATCCTGTTTCTAAATTAGATAGATAGATAGATAGATAGATAGATAGATAGATAGATAGATAGATAGATAGATAGATGATAGATAGATAGATAGATAAATAAA